CGCGGATGTTGCAACAAAGCATTGTCGGACGTCGGAACGTCACGGGTGCTGCAACAGAGCATCGCCGGCTGATGGAACCTTACGAATACTCCAACGGAGCATCGTCTAACACCGAAACCTCAATGGTGCTGCAACGGAGCATCGCCGGCCGGCGGAACCTCACGGATGATGCAACGGAGCATCGTCTAACACTGAAACCTCACCGGTGCTGCAACGGAGCATCACCGGCCGACAAAACCTCTTGGGTGCTACAACGGAGCATCGCCGGACCTCACGGATGCTGCAACGGAGTTGCGTCGGACGCCAGAACCTCACGGGTGCTGCAACAGAGTATCGCCGGCCGACGGAACCTCACGGGTGCACAACAGAGCTATAATGGAGCATCGCTGATGCTTCGATGGATGGTCGCAGGCTCGTACTAGCTTCGTTGCTGCAACCCAGTGTTGCAGCCGTGGTCGGTGCGTGGCGAGCTCATGAGTGTTTTTCTGTGCGATGACTAGCGACGATGCATGGTGCAGGCTGAAGCTGGTACTGCATGGCATGTCGTCCAAATGTGGCTCATCGCGTTGGAAGTGTGGATTATGTGTTGCACTCGTGTACATGCCTGCCTTATGGATGGCTGGAGTAGCTGCGGGAGAGATATGGCGTATTGGGATGAAAGCGGTGGCGTGGTCAAGGAATCAAGCGGGCCAGGCCAAATCGATGCTAATCAACGGAACGGGTGGCTATCATCAAAGGACTTTGCAGTCCTTTGTCTCTTGCTCCTAATAGGAGGTCGTTGAAATTATAATTACGGATAGTCATAATTACAGGGCAATGATGATGATAATCATGGATAGTAATAATAATAACAGGACCATTACAATTGCATGGTAATAATTATCACAATAATTATAATCTTGTGTGTGCTAAACATGGTATGGCCACGAATTTGATTGCCAGGTTTTTTAGGGAACTAAATAAGGAAACTAATAACTGGGGCATTTGCTAGAGATATCTGACGTTAGCTATTCCAAATTTTATTTCCAATGCTATTCAAATTTGCTTACATTACTAGCAACCTTCAATCTGGAGGGAAATTGTTTCCAAATCGTTTCGTTTCAACGTGTCAAATCAAATCAAACCATGCTTCTTATATTGACTGTAGAATTTGATTCCATGGTTAATGAAATTTGCCTCTATCCCACAAACTCCGCATGAGTAACATCCATCGGCAGTGAATGCCTCCCATCTCATCATAGCCCATCTTTATTAACAATGGGAAAGCAAGCATATATATATATATATACAGAGTCGTCAAGGCCACACACCAGGTTACTACATGTCATCGGGGGTCGTGCTACATACTTAGATACTAATGTAGACAAATCTAAGACAAGAATTTTGGGACAGAGACGGAGGGAGTACACAGCACAGTAGCAAAGGCTACCAGAAAGAAAGAATAGCCTCCGTCCCTCAGAAGCACCCTACCCTACCTAAACAACAAACAACAAACAACAAACACACAAAGGCAGGTGTGAGGGCCGCCAATTGCGACGATATGTCCATAACTCCAACAGGGTCCTGAGATGCTTCGGAGCCGATTTCCTGGCGCTCAACCACCAGGTTGCTGTGGTCGCTGCCACCCCGCTTCTCATGGAAGTAGACACTTTAACATATACTACTCTAGACCAGTCTCAACATATCAATCAGCTCAGCTTCATTGAAGCTATATGGGTAGCAAGCTCCATGGCCTCCTTGACCCGACAAGCATCACTTCCCTGCATTCAAATATTGCATTGCATCACAGGATTATTCACAGATTGTATTAGCTAGTAACCATAATTACTACTAGTACTAGAATTTGACCAAAGTTAAGATGCCTAAACAATGAACGATGCCTCACCTGTCCCTGGGCAAGACCATTCTTTCCGCTGCCTCCTTTCCCCTTGAGTGGTGCGATTGAAGGCGTAAGCCAATCCAACACCTTGAACCCATTGGGTGCGTCCGGAGGTACACCCGCATAGATAACAACCTTGTGTGATGCCTCGTCTGTGCTGAATACCATTATCGGCAGACCCTGGCACCAACACATCCAAAGATTTGATTGACACAAGGAATACAAATTTAATGTTTTAATCATTCATTGTTGGAGTAAGTTGGAAATTATGCTGAATCTATAGTTTCTTTTTAGATGATGGGAACACTACTAGACAGAAACGGATTGGAGTACCGACCGACCTTGAAACGGTCCATTTCTTTCACAACTGCTTCCCGGACAGCAGTGGTATCAAGACCCACATCGACATGAATAACACAAAAGGGTTTTCCTTCAGAAACAGCAGCTTCTGCGGCATCTATGGCAGTCTTGACAGCCTTTTGGATATTTTCTTTGCCCATTTTCTTCTTCGCCTCCCTAAGTTGATCCTGATATATGCAATAGCTATAATCAGCTTTCTTCATTTTAACTACCAATAGTAGAATACCAAATATATCTTAAATATTTTCTCTTTGACAATATGTGACAAATGAACTGAAGCATTTACAGACCTCCAACTTTGAGACATTGCCTTTTAGATCAGCTTTTCTTGCAGCTGGGATAGCAGCGGCATCCAGTGTATTCTTGATGGACCCAATTTTCTGATGAAGAAATGCCAATTCTTAGATACTCCCTCTGTAAACTTATATAAGAGCGTTTAGATCACTACTTTAGTGTTCTAAATGATCTTATATTAGTTTACCGAGGGAGTAAAATCTAATATAAAGCAAATCAACAGAAAATGGATACAAAGTACAACTGACATCGTCTATTCATATAAAAGTTAAGGACATCGTATTTCTAAGAAAACAAACAAGAATCACAATAACTTCTAATAATATCCAATTTATCGGAGTATCATAACCATATAGCTCACACTAAGAGACACAAACACAAATGGGGAAAGCTTAGTACCTTTTCCAATGTCGCTCCGTCCAGTTTAGATGCTTCATTGATATCAGTCTCGATAGATGATGCCAACTTCATAGCCTGTGAGGCACACTCAGCAGTAATAGTCGTTATCCTCCGAACACCTTTTGCGATACCCTCTTCAGATATGAGGGCAAATGCTGCGGCATCTCTAGTGTTCGAAATGTGTGTGCCTGACATACATAAACGTTAGGGTGACATAAACACATAAATGCAGAATTACATAGTAGAACAGAGTAGTAAATATACCTCCACACAGCTCTGTTGATATGGATAACCATTCTTTGCTTTCAGGGTTTGCAAGCAGATCTTCCACTTTGCGACCAATCGATACAACTCTTACAGGGTGAGGGTAAATCTACAAAATCCATATGTAAAATGAATTAACACAAGACAACAGGGCAGGCAAACGAGATATGACAACATGGTATGTCAAGATGGGTAAGAGAACGCACTTCACCAAACACAGCTCGCACACCATTTATGCCCTTTGCATCAGCTAATTTTATTTCTTGTGCAGATACCTCTAGCTCATCCTCTATTTGCTTCTTCACTATATCCTCAATTTTTCTCAAATCTTCAGGCTAAACAGGTTTCCCTGTTATGTACTAACAGTTGAGTTGACAAGCCGAGGAAAAGCAAAGAGTGGATGCAATATAAAAAGAATCACAGTATACCATGGGAGAAACCAAATCTCAGCTTCTCTGGAAGAACAATGGAACCTTTCTGGTCAATATGGTCACCAAGTACTTCCTACACTTGCAATAGTGAAACCATCATGAATACAAAAAAAGGCATGCACTATAAAATCTGAGAGGCTTGAAAACTTACCCTTAGAGCAAAGTTCAGCATATGGGTACATGTGTGGTTTGGAGCAATCAGAGTACACCGTGTGTAATCAGCCTACCAAGAGTAATAGAAGCATCGCAGTGTAATTTAGCAAATTTCATAGGTAAACTAATTTAGTATAAAGAATTAATCAGTACAGAATGTTACTTTGCATTTCACTTCATCGCCAACAGATAATGCCTTGGAGTCAGGCCCTTCCAGAAATGAACCGATGTGCAGGACATATCCAGCAAACACTTGGACATTGTTCACAGTGAAAGATCCAGATGCCCCCTCGATACTCCCAGTGTCATAGATCTATTCCAGAAACATCATACGGCATGTCAAAAGAATTCATACAATGCATGGCGCAACTCTTGAACATGCAGGGGAGCTGCATATGTATATACAGCCCCAAACCCCACACAGGATAGAACAAGAAATGGCCATGCAACATGGTGACTTCAAATAAACAAGAAAACACCCATGGTTGTTGAATGCAAATTGCAATGTTTGTTTGCAAAGTACCGGTATTAACTTGCCAAATTTTGAAGCCAATGTATTGTATGGGCAACTTCAAAGCCCTCAACACTATTTTCCTCGGAGTTAGATTGGATACAACCGTAAGGTGGTGCTCGAAATGGTGTTAATGACAAAAGGCATTACTTCAACCATTTATTAATGAGCGCTGTAGATTATTAGGATGACATACAACAAACAACAAACAATACCAATCAGGTTTCAAACAATGGGAGGTATCACTCCAGGGTGCACTAATCATTTTTTGTTCTGGTTACAATGAAATAATAACTTTCAAACAGAAATTATGTGTCTACTTTACTGATGAATCAACCAACATGATTATGTTAAAATTAACAAAATTACTGTCATGTGGGGCCATTGCTACAGGAGGACACCCCATCAGACATCAGCTCAATAGTTACTATAGAAAAATATCTAACTCGCAAACTAAGGTAATTATCAAGCTGATGTCAGACGGGGTTTCTTCCTGTAGTAATGGCCCCACATGACAATTACAACAAAAAATAGAATGTCATGCTTATTCAGTAGGTAAGCTGATAATTCATTGCATGACTACAACTCGAGAGGTGATTGCACTTGACATTTTCATTCAACTACACTAACATGCCGTCAAAAGTGAAGTTGTACCTGACCGCCCTGTTCCGCATAGAAGCTTGTGCTTTCCAAAACAAGACCAAAATCTTCATCACCAAATGCAGTAGCTATGAACTCTGAGCCAATATAGATAGCTTTTACAACACTGCTATGTACCTGCAAAATGTTTTTAGGTGTATCCGCCATGATCAATATATAGGTGTTTACCCACAGTGCGAAATATGAACAGTGCAAGAACAAGCAAAGGCAGGTAGCCAGGTAAATTCACTACTTGAATGAAATTCTACAAAATCCCAAACAGGTACTGAATATGGAAGGAACTGTACCTAATAGAGAAACCACAACTAAATAATCTAACTAAGCATCTAACCTCGTGTTGGAATTTCGGGCTATCATTTGTGCTGGCAAGCCCCTGATTGCGCAGGTGCGATGTAGCATTAGCATCAAGGACAATAGACTTGCCACCAGCCTGCAAGAAAAACATATATAACAAAATCAGAAAGAAGTATGATATAAAAACCATAACAGGAAGAAGTTGCCCAATCAATTGTTGAGCGTCAGTGGCATATAAGAGATGCTAAGTTTAGTTAATTACAATATTATTAAACAGCAAAGAGCAGGAATAATACTTGGATGGCATAAAAGATCACAAGTGAAGAATTAAGTTTTATATTTAAGAAGAAATAAATACAACCTTGTAGCGAGCATTCCTAGCCTTTTGTCTTGCTTCTTCCATAGAAACATTAAAACCCTCCATGTCAACAGATAGCCCGAAGTCAACTGCCATGACCTATGAGATAGGAAACAACAACGATACCAGAAAAACAGACAATAAAAGCTTTAACAACAGCATAAACATGAAAATATAGCACTATCAAGCTAATTTGAATAGATTTACTGATGAAAACATGAACAAACCTCAGTCAAATCAATTGGATAGCCATATGTGTCCCACAGAACAAATGCATCCTGAAATAATAAATAACGGTTGCAATACATGAAAGATAGCAATATAAACTTGAAAAGTTCAGCAGGATGTAACAGAACATTGATAAACATAACTGAAGTATGATTAAGAGACATGTTTCTATGCAGTAAACTCCTATTCTTAAAATAAGGACGATGAAAAGAATTATTCCACATTACTGTAGAGAATATGATCAAGTTTACCAAATAGTCAAATTCCTTAGTTTTTGACACGTTTCTCGAATACATAGAATTAGAACGACAAAATAGAGAATATGATCAAGTTAACCAGATAGTGCCTATACAATATTTAAAATGACATCCGAGAATAACTACCGACAACGTATCCGACAGATATCCAAGTTCTGGTTCCTAATGCCATTTTTAAGGGGTTCGGTCAGTTTGTAGCTATCTGAACCATTTTTACCCCTGCCAGCAAACCATTTTCATGACACTATAGTTAGATTCTCAGGCATTGTTCTTAAGGCGGTAAGGCAACCTAAGGTGAGCACCCACTACCCTGACGCCTAAGCGCCTTAGGTGGGCAAAACTGCAAAGCACTGTCAAGACGCCTTGCCACCTAAGCGTCCAAGGTGAGAAGCCCTAAAAACAATGCTCTGAGGCCTACTGGAGAGGGATAAAAGGCTAGAGATATTCAGATTAATCTTCACTTCAAGAAACTAGATGACAATGCAACCAATCTAGCAAGGATAAGAACCTATTTCAACTATTTTAATATGAAATGTATGCATCTTATTAATCACGATACTTTGTCTCTAACTTCACAATTTATATCATCTCCTAACTATTTTCACTTCTTAATGGACATCAATGAGATAACACATCAGACAACAAACAAACTACAAGTCTGCTTATTAGGTGCAAACATCTTCTAGTGAAAACAAAATAAATCAAGTATAATTCAAAACCAAAGCACTTGCCTGGCGAATAAGTACTGTCCCACCATTCTCCTTGACAGCATCTGCAGCTTTCTTAAATCTCTCATATCCCTGAAAATTACAACAACAACACAATCAGTTAACTGCCTGAACAGCCACAAGAATGGACAATACATATTATGATGGTTCTAATAAAAGAAGGGTCAACTAAACTTCAACTGTAAGCTTTCTTAGTCTCTGTTGCTATATATGAAACACAATAGCAAGGCACCTAGTAGGAACCACCCTTAAAATATAAGCATGATAAACAGAATCATGCCCATGTGCAAACCAAATAAATTGGATTACTAATGGTCATTTCATAGAAAAGATGAGACAATTTATCATGTGTGCTAATTATCGTGATTGAACTAAGCTGATGTAAACCAAGATTGAAACTATCACCCTGGATGTGTTGCCTCAAAACAAGAAACTATCTGGTTACTCAGCACAACACGTTAATATATATTATATATATAAAGTAAGCCTTTAGCAGTATCTCATGAGCAAAACAGCGGTACCTTAGATACAAGGTATAAACTGGCCCAGAGCCTCCGGCAACAATAGAAATTTAGGTTATCTGATAACAAACAAGCTAAATTACTTTGAGACTAACACATGTTTACAAGGATAAAACAATTTAGGTTATCTGATAACAAACAAGCTAAATTACTTTGAGACTAACACATGTTTACAAGGATAAAACACTGCCTAAGAGTGTGCAAACACTTGGATTTGATTGCAATGAAATTACTTCAACAAACATCACTTGGGCCAAATTGAAGTCACTGATATGCAAATACTCCTGGCAACCAATATTACCTTCGCTAGAGTGTTCTCAAAGCTTGCCTCTTCTTCTTCAATTATATCTTTAATCTTCTTTTCATTGTCCTTCAGCTCAGGAAACACATCACCCATCACTCGGACAAAAACATCTACAAGGCTGTACAAGAAAGATACAAAATAATGGCATATCAAATACCAGCTTCAAGAACATAGTTTAAATTAGCTAGAATCATGTGTGACATAGTTTCTTTACTTGTTGTCATATGACATCTCTACAGTCATCCTCGTAAGCCGTACATTGCATGTTTAGCATCCCGAGTAAACAAAAGGCTATGCAAAGTATACCATTAACGAAAAGGTACAGAATACAACAGATGCATGTTACAGTTCTTACGAGCTAAAAAATCCTTGCTTTGCCATCAATTTTTGATGACCAAAGTGAACAGCACGTCTAAGTATACGCCTTAGAACATACTCTCTTCCCTCATTTCCTACAACAAAACTCCTATTAGAACAAGGAAACATCATTGTATAACACAAAACAAAGCTCTGAAACATTGTAAAAATACTGCTAAACAACATTCCTCGGTAGGGGCCCATCTGAAATCTAAAAAAAATGGTTCGCAATGAACTAAACCCACACAAATTTAGCATTTATGACTTCATATTTATAGGAAGGGCATTAATGCATTTCGTCCTAAAACAGGAAATGCAACTCAGGTCCCCAAACTAGTGATTTTGACACATGGATGCCTGAACTAAAATTAATCAGTCAGGTTCAAAACAACTAGCCTCCGTAGAGTTGACTAGCCAAAACCGTATGAGCTCACTAGGTTGAGAACCATCAGCAATAGCAAAAGAAAGGGCTCTTATGTGATCTGCAACAACCCTATATGCCATATCAACTTTCCCAACATCATCGAATCCTACTTTACCAGAGTATGGTTGAATTCCAGCGCCTGCCAGATGCATTCATAATGCATAATGAATTGGCAATGAATATCATTTACTTTAGGCAACAATTTATTGCTTCAGCAAAATACTCTAGTCACAACTCGCAAGCACAAAAGAAGCTGCAAGTACGCATCTGGGAAAAATACCTTGTGGATGGCATCGAATAATGGCATCAATACATCTGTGTCGTAATTGCTCATTTTATTCTGAAGGATAGAAGTTAAATGCTCAAAGCCCATTCCGGTGTCAACGTGTTTTGCTGGCAAGGATCTCAAAGTAGCGTCTGACTCCCTGTTGAACTGGGTATTAATAAAATAGCCAAATGTCAGTGCATAGTAGAAGAGATAAAAAGCAAATAGGCGTGCACACACATGAAACAGAGTAACTGGCATGTTAACCTGAATAAACACAAGATTCCATATCTCAATACATGTAGGGTCATCATTATTGACTAATGAGGCTGCGTCACGGTTGTCAATACGATCAAAATGAATCTCTGTGCATGGTCCACAAGGACCTGTGTCGCCCATCTCCCAAAAGTTATCCTGCTCAAAGAATGCATTGTTGTAATACTCTTCTTGTTTAATAGGGACATTCAGATAGCAGTATAAGCCCAACAGAAACGAAGATACAAGATAATAATGTGCAAAACGGACAGGAAGGAGGTCGACCAAGAAACCAAGCAGAGCACAAGCAGAATAGTACCTTGCAACCGAGAGGCAGAACTCTTTCATTCAGTAGATACTTGAACCATATGTCTTTTGACTCGGTATCGGGAGCGAGACCAACCTTGTCATCACCATCAAAGTATGTTGCATAAATCCTATCAGTGGGCAATTTGTAGACCTGCACATACATACATACATGCATATGAAATAGAAATTTCTATCAACGGGCAATTATATGTCACTCTTTCATCATCCTTACATTTGATTGATTGATTGATTAATTGATTGATTGATAGCAAGAGTAGGTAGGTAGGTACCTGGGTGAGGAGTTGCCATGCGTATGCGATGGCCCCGTCCTTGAAGTAGTCCCCGAAGGACCAGTTGCCGAGCATCTCGAAGAAGGTGTGGTGGTAGGTGTCCTTGCCGACGTCGTCGAGGTCGTTGTGCTTGCCGCCGGCACGGATGCACTTCTGGGTGTTGCAGGCGCGGCGCAGGTGGCCGAGCGGCGAGTCCGGGGCGGCGGTGCCGAGGAAGACCGGCTTGAACTGGTTCATCCCAGCGTTGGCGAAGAGGAGCGTGGGGTCGTCCACGGGCACCACGGGGCTGGACGGCCACGGCATGTGCGCCTTGGACTCGAAGAAGCCGATGAAGGACTCCCGGACCCGGGCGGAGGGCCGGCCATGGATGCTCGTCGGAAGGAGGAGAGGTGGGCGGCGGCGGGCAGAACCCTATCCCTAGCGCTTGGCTTGGGGTTGGGGTTGAGGAGCGCTGCAAGGAAAATATGAGGCAGGGAACGAATGCCAAGTTTGTGTGGTAATTTTATTTTATTTTGAAAAGAAAAAATAGAAACCATATTTAAAAATTTCAAAAAAAATTGAAAATAATTCTGTGCAAACTTTTTTTTTTGCATTACTCAACTCATGGTGTCCATACATTGAGCGACAGCTAGCTCAACAGCAACATCTGGACCAGAACCAACCCAAGTCATGGTTCGTCCATCTAATTTAGCAAATCTAGGCTAACTTTATTTTGAGAGTGATTTACATGAGTAATACAACAACCACGAATCCCCAAAACATACTTGATCACCTTAACTATCCAAGCATAAATAGATTTGTCCAAATCCCTCAATTGGATCAGTTTGACTGCAAGAATAGAGTCCATCTCCACAATGGTAGAAAAGTCACTCCTCTCAAGTGCAGATGATAGCCCTTCCATGCACGCACGCAGTTCAGTTGATGAAAGAAAGAGCGTTTTTCTTCTCTGCTTCTTCATTCGCTCGATTTCCTTTTTTTCACCTTTTTATTAAAAAACTAAAAACATTTATTTAAAAATAATAATTTCCTTAAAATTTTGAAATGTTCAAAGTGAAATAGAAAACTATAAACATTGTGTAAAAAATTATCACCCGCTGCTTAGCTTGATTTGCAGGTATGAGGCAGGGAACGCCATACATTTGGCCGGCCTTCGTTTTTCTTCTCCGCTTCTTCATTCGCTCCATTTTATTTACATTTAAAAAATATATTCTAAATACACTTATTCCAAAAACACAGTAGAGTTTAACAAATAAAAAATGTTGAAAGTGAAATATAAAAGTATAAACATCATGTACAAAATTGTACTCTCTATGATCCATATTAATTGTCACTGACTTAGTTTAAACTAATATAGACCAAATGTAGCATGATATAAAAAATGTTTATGGCATTCAAAAATATGTTCACGTGTTTCAAAAATATATACGTGACATTTTTAGAAAATGTCATACAATTTGGAAAGAATGCTCACGTAATTCAACAAAATAAATACTGCCTTTCAGAAAGATGTACATGACAATTAAAAAATGCTCACACACTCCAAAAATAGGTTTATGCCAATTAATAAAAAATGTTCAAGATGTGTAAATTTTTACAGTGTGTATTTAGAAAAATGGACATGTATTGAGAAAGAAATAAAATCCATAAAAAACACATAAGACATAAAACCAAAAAAAAAGATGAAAATTGGCCCAGGAAACACACAAGACGAAAAGGAAAAAAACTCTGCAGGAACCCGGTCCCGGGAACCCATATTGGGAAAACCCATCTAGGGTCCGCCTACTTCATACAGCAGGCGAGAAGGACATAGTAAAGATGACATGCTTTTCTCAAAAAAACAGGTAAAAATGACATGCCATTAAAAATAAAATTGCCATGCTCTTAATAGTTATTAGAATGAATCAAGTCTCTTCTTTATTAGATGCCATATGCTATTTATACAAGGGAAAGGACACCACTGGAAAAGGTGTCTGATCAGAGGAGGTGCCTGTTCGGCGAGAACCGACGCGGCCGTTTTACAACGGCCTGCGGTTAGTACAAGCAGGGATTAATCCCATAATTAACACATGGTTAATTAATTCTAACACTCCCCCTAATCAATGCTTGATCTTGTGAGCAGACGTCATCTTGATAAAGTTTCCTCCAAAAACCCTGTGGGGAAAAATGAGGATAGAGGTGTTTGATATGTTGCCAAAACTCCTTCAAACCCAGTAGGAAAAATAAGGAGAAAATGCCGCAACATATAATGATTATTGTCTGTGTAACTCAATATGAGAAAAACCCATAGAGTTTAGAGGACAATAAATATGTCTAATATACTTTCTTAAAAACCCCGGTGGGGAAAACAGAAAATATGACATATGGTCTTGTGTTGATATTACCTCATTAAAAACCTTTATGAGAACCTATAAAGTAAACTCATGAAGGGAAAAAGAGTATAATATGATGCTTTCAACAGGAACAATTCAGGAAGATACTCCCCCTGATTCTTGCATATTCCGAAGTCGTTATATACCAATTCCATGAACACATTTCTAGAACATAGAAGTTGGTAGAGACCTGGTGAACAAATCAGTCACATGATTTAACTTGCAAGATATGCAATATAGCGATATTGCTTATTATGTAACATGTTTGCATCCGGGCAACACAAGAAACATTATCCTTGAGATAATGGTTGGTGGATGTAGCCATAAGGTCTGTCTCGAAGACTCTTCATGAGAGGGCTACCACACCTAGTAGGAACACTAAGCTTGTCTACGATCTGATATAGTGGGATCTCATCGATGTATCCAATGATATCGGTGTTCACATTTCTGTGAAACTGAAAAACCAGGAAAAGATGTTTGATGCCTTGAAGATATCGAAAGATATTCTTGAGTACCAACCAATTGTGTTTGGTGGATCCAATGGCATTAAGGAACATTGAGTCCCAATATTTCATTTCTATCATCTCTTGGTCTAAATAGATCTTTCTCTACGTCTAGAGAATGAACCACCATGAGAGTTATGGATGTATAAGACTTGTCCACAATGAATTTCTCCAATATATTTTGGATATAGACAACATAGTGTACCAAAATGTATGAGTGAAGGTGCTCAAGTTGTAGTAACGAGCGGTATCTTGGTTTTACCCAAATCCTTCATTTAAACTCTGTCGTTTAGATGATTACATGTATCATCATTGCAGGAGTAATCACTGTGTATGACAGACAAACATGGATAACCATCATTGTAGGAGTAATCCTTGTGGAAAGGAACTCACTAAGTCGGTTGTACCAAATGTACCGACAACAATAAGTCATATGGTGACTTGCTAATTTTTACACAATGTATGTTGCATTTTGTATTTCGATTCAGAATTGAGATTCCATTGGAAATCAATCATATATGTCTGAATCTAGTGAGCCACATGGATATGTGATCACTACATCTATCAATTGCAGAGATAGATGATTTTGTACTGCCAATGATATAAGTTATCGAAATGAGATTCCACCTCTGGAGAATAGTTAGGTATCTGGGTAAACCCTTGTGCTACAATACTTGCTCTTTGTTTACCACCTCGTTGTTCTCAATTTTGTTTCCAGAAGAAAACTGGTGTAGGTATTTCTTATGAATACCTTCCCATTATTGAGCAAGATCATTTCTTCCTAGATTATACCCTTTGCTTGAGTTCAGTCCGAGTGTTTTTCACACTTTGCCATGGCCATGGTCTTTGGACCTGAATCATGTGAAAGGTTTTGCAATCTAGTTGAGAAATGTATGTCGACAATTGTAGACATCCGGTTATATGTTTCTCCAGAATCTATATATCAATATAGAGTTGATGGAAATATCGTTACCCAAGGTGACTGCTCGCTATTTCCCAATGCGGCTAAGTCGGGTATTCCAATATCCCGGTCATTGTGTGCACTATGACCTGGGTTGGTGGAGGATTCCCGTCCACTGGGTGTATACTACCCATTAGGTGTCTGCCAACATGAAGTTGACTTGCATTTACTGATTCACAGGCCTTGATATCCTTGCTTGCGAGAAGCTGAATCCTGATGTACTTCTGCCATACATCTCCCCCTGTTGCTTTGAACGGGGAGTGGAGTGGATTTTGTTGGTACCTCCACTCTTTCAGGCATACTTTGCAGGATTGTAGGATTGTGTGACACCTTTATAGTCAGTAAATGAATCTGGCAGGTTATTTGCAATATGTTGCAAATCTTCTGAACACATGGTTCAACTCTTTGATTACGGGGATATGAGGCAGAAATGTGTTGAACATTCCACTAATTTCCTGGCATTCTTTATGGTACTTGAATTCTCCCCCTAATGCCTGGAAATATTCCTCATTGAATCAACATACTGGCCTTGAATAACTCCCCAGGTGAGGGGCTTGAGGTATTGACGGTAATACAGTTATTCCTCACATAGATCCCAACTATATGTTGAGGGGCCAATGATGTATGTCGGGGTGATGATATCGGTGTGTAACCAAATTACCGCAGATAGGAAATACTTGGTAGATTTCCATGTATCAAAGATAGAGGGGAATAAAATTATGCAGTTTGGTCATGAGCGTGTAAAACTCCATGACTCCAACGTAAAGTTGGTAAGTTGCAATTTCAAAGTAAAGATCATGCAATGAGCTCAATTTTTTGGATGGGATTCTACCAAACCATTTCGAGTCTAGACATTAGGAAAAATTACTAAACTTCAATCCGAGGACCATTGAAAAAGGCACTCAAGGAGAATTCTGCAAATGCTATCCATTCGATTTGCTTGAAATCGATGTCAGGATAATGAGTCAATGGTTTCGTGTGAATAAAGCACACTTGAGACCATCATATAGATGTGTCTTTGGAAAAACCATGGATACCTGAATAGTCTAGTCAATGGTTGGGAAAAACCACTTACCTCGACTTGATGCATTCAAGGAGTCTGAGTGGTTCAGCGTAAACTTTAAGGTGCGCAATCCTTAAAATTAGCTTCCCTGTGTCATATGTAGTGCACACAAAATCCAAATATTGTTAGAATTTAGCATCATAATAATCATAAAACCAATGGAATTGCTGATAGTTTCGGTTTCAACCCAATGTCTCGATGACCAAAGGCGAGTATGCCAAGTTTGTCATGTACAAGATGTTGGGTTTCGTAGTAATTTCAAAAAATTTCCTACGCACACGCAAGATCATGTGATGCATATTAACGAGGGGGAGAGTATTGTCTACGTACCCAACGCAGACCGACTGCGGAAGCGATGACACGACGTAGAGGAAGTAGTCGTACGTCTTCACGATCCAACCGATCAA